GTCGATGGATGAACTATTTGAGTTGAACACACCATCAACATTCAACTTGATGAGTATTTCAAAAGAAAACGTATTTCAAGATGCAAAGTTGAGTTTCTGCATGATGAGATTGATGATGAAGCACATTAGCCGAAGTAGACCGTCATGAAGACGACTTGGATGAGAATATGAAGTAGACAATGAGGAAGATAGTGAGGATGATAGATTCTAGTATGCCATCCATGATCCGAAAGCCAAATGGAATATTATGACACTAGTGTGTGTTGAAAAGTATGAATTCATGCGTCATCTAAAACTATGTTTAACAAATCATTCCATCTATAAGGGTTGTCAAATTCGTTTCAAGAAGTGTGATAGGGTTAGACTAGTGGTTGTATACTTGTATATGCAAGTGATCTAGAAAATTCCCCTTTCATGGTTAGGGATTCATGGATGAGTACTGAAAAATCATTCCAAGTACAGAAGATGAATGACATGCATATATGTCTTAGGAATTTTAATAATTTAACGCTTATGAATCCAGCTTGGTTAGCAAAGCAATTTGTGATAGAATTGATAACTAAACCAAGCTGAAAATAAAAGGAAATATAGGAAATTATAAAAAGTAAATTTCAATGCAAGGTCTCTTGGTTAAAGTGCTATAAAGCAAGGTGTAGGGCACTGTCCTTAGTGAATGGAAATTTGAGTAACCATTATGCAAGAGTGTGGAATTACGCACATGAGTTGATGAGGTCCAATCGAACCAGTATAGTTAGGATTTATGTTAACATTAACCCTGATCAGAGTACAAATTTGCATAGAATATATATTTGTTTTAAGACAATCAAAGAGGGACGGAAAAGAGGATGCCTTAGGGTAATAGGCATGGGTGACTGTTTTTTAAAGGGACAATGTAAGGGTGAGCTACTAACTTCAATAGGTAGAGATGAAAACAATCAAGTTTACCCTATAACATGAGATGTTTTTGAGGTTGAAAACAAGGTTAATTGAAAATGGTTCTTAGAACTAGTTAGTGAAGACCTTTCATTGGAGCATGGTAGGGGATTATGTGTCATCAGTGATCATCACAACGATTCCTTTATTTACCTATCATTTATTATACTTGCTAATAACAATTACTAATTTACTTCTTCATATGCTAGTGTGACATCCCCATTTTTCACGGCCAGAAAAGACCGATTTTGTTTATGCTTAAAAAACAATCAGAGTACTTCTTTTAATAAAAATGTTGCGGAATTTGTTCCCAAAAAAACACGATAAATATGTTATCAAAACATTTTTGAAGAAACGTAATTTATTCATTTTAAAATGTTTGGGATGTCATCGTCAATACAGAAACATAAGCATAAACGGAACTTACATTTATTTACACTAGTGATCTACATCTCTTTAATCTCTCAAAGTAATGTGACTTCATATCAACACCTGTGCCCTGTGATATAAATAAACTGAGTGGGTCAGGTTGGGAAATCTGGTGAGTACATAGGGTTTTCAACCCACAATAATATAATTATTATGTTTAAACAATCAAACAAACAACCCAATTATCAGTCCCCATTATCTTCTTTAATCTTAAGGATCTACCCTAAGAATCAGCTATTCCTCGTTCATTCATTCCTAAGGATTTTCCTAAGGAATCGGCAAGAAGTCCATCGTTGCCACAGTTTACACAACGGGTACTAAGTCTGCATAGTCACCAGGGATTAGGCACTAAGTCTGCATAGTCGCCAAGGTTTAGACACTAAGTCTACATAGTCGCCAGGGTTTAGGCATCAAGTCTGCATGATCACCAAGGTTTAGGTATCAAGTCTGCATGATCACCAAGGTTTAGGTATCAAGTCTGCATGATCACCAAGGTTTAAGCATCAAGCCTGCATGATCACCAGGGTTTAGGCATCAAGTCTGCATGATCACCTAGGTTTAGAGTACACCAGGTGAACACATCGTTCACAACACCTACAGGTTGCGAGTCTGCTAGTGTTCCACTAGACTATCTATAATAGTCAGTGGTTATCATCCATACTCTGCTGAATAACGGGGCCATCGTATGGGAAAAGGCTTCTCACATCGTCCACCTCTCACCCTCACCTCATAGTCTATAACACCTCTCAACTCATCATCAAACTCATATTCCATCTATTACATCTATCCATGTTTTACCCCAACATTATCGTAGATATAAAATACATATACAGTTTAAATCATTTAAAACATGTATAAAATCATTCATCCAACATAGACAGCAAGTATTCAGATAATATGCACACATAGCACGTAATTTATATAAAAATACTTTATATCTATATGTAAGATGAAAGTAATTATGCACTCACCTAAAAGGTGGTGACTCAGCACTCGGACAGCGCTTCGATACTCTCAAAACAATTTTCCTTCGATAAAACCTAGTATCAATACCACTAGGGTTCAGTCTAACGATAACCGCGACAAATCAATAGTCTGACTGTTATTATTATTATGTAAGCATTAAATAACACTCAATATAACTCATAATAATAGCCCAAATAATTATTTTAACGACCTAATAACATTACTATAATTATTTAAAAGTTATATTAAAAGTTGCGTAAGCGTAGCTCAGTTACAGCGGATTTTAATTAAAGAAAACCGGGCTTTGCTCGGAGTAGCGTTTCGAAACCGAAAGACTCTTTTTCTTGGGACTCCAGGAGCCTCGAGGCTTCCTTAGGGTGCTAGGGGATCACCTAGGCTTAGGGGAGGATTAAAACACTTAGAGAGAGAAAGTTTAGAGAGAGAGAGAGAGAAATGATTTTGGTGTGATAAATCCGGCCATTTTCGCATCTATTTATAGGGGTTGGGGGCTTCGGACTACGTTGCGCGTTCAGCAGCTACGCTGGGCGTAGTCCCCGGATAAGGTTGCCAGCTTTGCACAGCTGGCTCACACTCGGACAGGACCCGGATAAGACCGAGGAACGCTGGGTGTACCCAATCTCGGACGTAGGGCGTAGCGAAGGAGCGACATGTCCATCATCGGATGCGAGGCTGGGCTTCATCGGACTGCTCAGATCGAGCCACATCGCCTAACTCGCATCAAGTCTCGCAAAATCGAGTGCCAACTTCTAAAATTCGTATCTTTTTCATACGATCTCCGTTTTTGACGTTCTTTATATCCACGAGAAGGTGGGAACATACTCTACAACTTTCGTTTAGACTTCGTCGGATAATTTTGACTATATTTTAAAACTTACATTATTAAGAGGCTGGGACAGGATTGCTCTGTTAAATCCTCATAACTTCTTCATCTGATGTCCGTTTTTGCCCATCTTTTTCTCGTTACGCTACTCTTAACGAGATCTTCGATTCTCGTTTAGGTCGTGTCGGCTAAAAACTGCTCGATCAATTATTCGAGTTTCGGGATGTACATTGCTAAGCCGAAACTTCGAAAAATCATAACTTCTTCATACGAAGTTAGATTTGAGCGTTCTTTTTATGGACGATCTCGGTTTAACGTATTCTACGACTTTCCTTTAAATCGCTAAGGCTAAATCTTGCTCAATCGTAAATTCACTATTTACGTTTCCCGGTATCGTGCCGGTTCCGTTGCGAAACTTCGACGGATCATAACTTTTTCGTTATAACTCGGATTCCGGCGTTATTTATATGTACGGAAACCTTGTAACATATAATACAACTTGGTTAAGATTATTTATTCTAAATAATCCTTTGTCGAAAAGTCATTTTCGACACTTATTGCCTCTAATTTGACTAGCTCGGGTTTACGGGCGTTACAACTAGTGTCTTCTTGAAGCTATAAAGGCTCCTAACAGTCAAAGTACACTACAAAGGAGACCATAGACTATATCAGAATCAATGAAGCAAAATTACAAGAGTTTAAAGGTGTAAAATAAGTACATGTGGAGCTTAGTATGTTTGTGGTATGCTTTCTCTTTCTTCATGTTATGTAATAATATGCATTACTTATGGTGTTTAATTTACTAACTATTTATTGTTATGCTTGTTATATGATATATGAATACATAGACAAATTACATTTGAAGGAGTCCCTAAACTCAATCATTTGGGGATGAGGAAAGGATAGATGAGAAGAACATGGATAAGGAAAACATGACATAATCTCCACTTTCTTGAAATAAGATATTTAATAAAGCAAAAGTAATAAGAGAATAAAAGGTTGTACAATTGTAGATGGTTACTAACCTACTTTCACTATCTACCATGTAATATTGATACTGTGATTCATTTATGCTCCTTGAATCGTCTTGTATTCTTGAAAATTCCGTTTCAATGTTCCTTTTTCTAATAAAGAATCCACGATATTTTAGTAGTAATATTAAAGCGATTTCACTGGACAATAGCGACAATATATTTGACATGTTAGGTCTATCTTCCGGATGTTCTTGAATACATACATAACAATCCAATTTGTATGCATCTTAATACTTCGTTCTCAAAAATATTGGCCCTGATAGATTCATCTAGTAGTTCTAAAGCCTTGCCTTCATTCCACAACGTCCATGTCTAAAATAGTAATCGTTACATATAAGATATATCAAGAAATGGTTAGAATTTCTTAATCTATCATAGTTAAGGTATGTTTATTATGATGAAATAAAATTAACAAAACAATGGAATGAACAATGTAATTTAATGAGTCGTTATATTATATATATTATCATGTTTATTAGTTTATACGGAAGCAAAATTTTATTAGAAAATTAATATTAACTAATTAAAAATATATGAAAGAAAAAACTTATTTCATAACATTTGAAATATATAATAAGTATTTCAAACAGTGGAAAGTAATTAATCTTTAAAAGCTTGTTTATAAAAATAAAACAAAATCAAAATTGAGTATAATGAAAGTAAAGTAAAATTATAATAAAAATCAGTTCTTAATTTTTATAAAATAACAAAAGTTAACTTAGTTAAGGTTTTGATTTTTTTTTTTTTTTTTTTTAAATATTACTGAATTTTATAAAGTAGTTATATAATAAATCATTTTATTCCATTAAAAAGGAAATGGAAAGAACAGATCTCCCCAAATGAATGAAAATTGCCTAAAGAGAAATAATCACAATCATCATAGAAAGCTCAGATTTGTACACGAGGATAAACAAACAAGATCTATTTATTGCCACTTAATGCTTCATTTTATTCATTTCGTATTACTATAATTCAAACACTATCTTAATACTTACTTGTGTGAGAAGGTTGTGTTCACTACGTGTATAACATGATCCTGTGTTCTTTTTACCGCTTACTATCTCGAGAACCAAAATTTCAAAACTGAAAACATTTGATTTTGTTGAAAAATGTCCATCCATTGCATATTCAGGTGACATATAACCACTACAAGAAATTTGAGAAATATAATAAGTCTAAAACTATAATGATATTAGTTTGCATAAATAGATTGTTACTTACTATGTTCCAACCACTTTCTTTGTTTTCGCTACAATTTGATCGCCCCCAAAAATCCGTGCCATACCAAATTCAGATATCTTTGGGTTCATTTGTCTATTGAGCAAAATATTACTAGCTTTTAGATCCCGGTGAATGACCTTAAATCTTGAATCTTGATGAAGATAAAGAAGCCCTCGAGTAATCCCACATATGATCTCGAGTTTGATTTTCCAAGTGAGTGTCACGTTTTTCTCTTTGTATATATTTATTTCAAAAGACACCTTCGATTTGAATAAAAAATATGTATCGAATGAAAAAAAAAAATAAAGCATGTGAAAAAATTACCAAAAAGGAACATATCGAGACTTTTATTTTCCATGAACTCATAAACCAATAACTTCTCTTCGGCTTCAACGCAACAACCTAATACTGGAACAAGGTTCCGATGTTGGAGTTTTGCGATTAACTGAACCTCGTTTTTAAGTTCTTCAATCCCTTGATCAGAAATTCTTGAGAGCCTTTTTACCGCTACAACCTCGCCTACCTTTAATGTACCATGTATTACCAACAACAAAAAACTTCTTGATGTTCTCATGTTTATCACGACACAATAATTTAAAGGGGAAACTTAAGAAATAATAACATTTTATACTCTTGATATCAATATAGGGAATGCACTATTTTTTCCGGCAACATTAGTTATACTTTTATATCCATAACAACAGTATACTTATATTTCTTCACCGATAACAACAAAATATGTATCATGAAACTTATAAAAATATACTTAATTTCTTACTCATGTTAACAAGTTGAATGCATTTCTTAGCCATAGAATTGTAGCAAAATAATTACATCTATTTACTAATAATAACAATGCACTTGGTCTTTTTTTACTATAATAATAATATGTAATCTAACACTAGTAAGTATTTTGTAACTTTCAGATAAAATGTTGGTATAATCCGTAGATAAAAGAAGGTATGTTGTTAAGTACCTTGTCATTATGAGTACAATGTATAGTATGTTGTTTAGACGGGTAGAAAGAGTAAAGTAATTGCTATTTTATGCAATTTGGGGGTATTTCAATTGTTAATACGTTGACGATACTTTACCTTATAAACACACCCGAACCCGCCTTGCCCAAGCTTACTTGAGTTCGAGAAGTTGTTTGTAGCCATAACAAGTGTCATAAAATCGAACAAAGGTAACTCAAGTTCATCTGTCTTTGTTTCACCATAATAATCTCTTTTATTTGACACCACCACCCCATCTTTTAATGTGAAATCTTTGACTCGTTTTTCTGGAGCTAATTTGGATCATTAAAAAAGTATACTAGTCATATGTGAATCAAGAAAACAACCTATTTTGACCTTAGAAATCTGTAAGTGTTAATGTGATTCTAAATTATTTTCTATGTTAATTTAATGATATATTTATACTCCTCAAAGTTAAAAATTACCTGGTATATCTGACTCTAGTTTTTTCAACCTTTGTAGTTTCTTCCTCATCAAGTGAAAGAGTATAATTAGAAATATCAGCACCACACAAACACCGATGGTAATGCCGACAAGTTTGACAACTTTGTTGTTGCTGCCAGAGCTATTTTTAGAACTTTTATTCATCGGTGGTTCGCCTACAGTGAATAGATTCGTACTTAATGATATCTGAAATTGTAAAATCCAAGACAAATCTACAACTTTTAATACATACGATAAATTTCACCAAACTGACAAAGTAAGTTTTTGTGTGTCCCCCAAAGTAACGAAGTCTAATGTTGTATATATAATATTAATGCATGAGCTACACATTACGTGAATCTGTTTTCTTCCAAAAGAACAACTTGGGTAAAACATACCTAATTAAATAAAACTTTTGATTACTGATTATATTATCAAGATGACAAATTAAAGAAACTTTTGGACCAGAAGATAGCTAGTTATTTTGAAGTATGGTCATTCATGGCCTCATGGGCAAGAAAATAAACTACGGTTTGTAATATTTGTTATGCAAGACATAATCCGTTGTATTGTATTTAATATGTATCGAGGTTTGGATTTGAAATGATGTTCATGCGACAAAAAAATGTTTTTTTTATTGTGAAAAAGACAATTGTTATGCTTTTTCCGAAATATAGATGAAAATAAAGTTTTTTTTTATTAAATAACCACTACTTTCACATGCCTTCATTAGTTTTTTCAGTTTTTTTTATTTATATACTATTTTTTTTTTAAAATCACTTCATTTTATCAATGAAATCTTTACTTTTCCTGTGAAAATGGTATTTGAAGATTGCTACCACAATAATTAATGGTTTTCATAAAAATATAAACAATTCTGGCAGTATAGAACAATATATAGTTTCTTATGTCAATCTTTTTTTTTTTTAAAGTTTTGGTCATTTTTTGCTGGTCAAACCTACGAACTCACATGTCAAACAAAAGAATTTGAAGGCAAAACCTATATGTAATAAGTTTCTCTGCAGAAAAACAACGTTTTAAGTATTTCACAGATTTAATATTACTGATTATAGTTTTAACACATCGACCATAACATACAATGGTGTCATAATTTCTTTCATCAGTCATTTTTAATATTTAATTAATGGTTATCTATTTTTATTTTTTTTATGTGAATCAGTGATGTTGATGTTTGTTTTATCACATTTAGAACAATTTTCCCAATTGCTTCGTGAAAAGACCAATTTATGATGTTGCTTAAAAAATTTAACTAACAAACTGTCTTTGTTATGCTAAGCTCACTCATGAATGGGTCGTTAAAACTGTCAAAGATTCTCACATAATTAATTACTACTTAAAAGAAGAATAAAAAAGAGGGGAAAAAAATCAACGAAGCCATTCTAGAACTAGACTTTGGTTAGCTTTGATTACTGGGATATTAAGATAAACCTTACAATTTGTTGAGAAATGAAGGTTTAAAAGAGCAATTTTTTTAGATGAATAAATATTGCAGCTTTTGCTATTTTTTCCATTATGTTATCACATGTTTTAGTATATTCGAAAAATACTTCTAAGTTTGTAATCTTTTACGTTTTTACCATGAATATATAAATGTTTTTTTTTCATATTATATGTATTTACACATAATGAAACGTATTTATATAGTTTGAATGAAGGGGCTGTGAAAGATCCCAACTTTCGTATTTTTGAAAAACCCAAACTTTCATACTTCACAATATTATTACTCCAAAACATGCTACTTGCATATTCATAAAAGTAATATGTTACATTGATAAAGAGGTTACAAACTATTGGATACAGACCGAATATTACAAAGTGTTATATATTACATAACTACCAAGGATATTGTAATTTATACTAACATAAGCCGAAGTACAAAAGTATTATTACAAACTATTCAAAATCTTTCAACAGTATATGATCATACTGGTTACTTATCACCTGCAATTGTTAAACATTGATAGGGTAAGCGGTAACGCTTAGTGATTTCAATAATAGATAAAATATAACGTTATGTCATATATATATAACTCAATATGGCGGAAGCAAATAGAAACGAGGAACAACAAATGCATATGAGAATCATGTGTTAAGCTTTCCATATCAATCAATGACTTGATTCAAAAATATACAATCAATAAGACATAACAATTTCCATACTTGATATACATCAATAAAGCTTTGGCCCAAATGGCATAGAAGACATATAATTTCTAATTAACATCTTGTTAGATTTCCAGCTTATAGTCCTATCTAACCATTTACCAATGCCATAGAATAGAAGTCATTCTCTTACAGAGACATGTTCTACATGGCCAGAGGCTACGTACCAGTACCAATGTAAATCTAAGTCCTTTCACTGATCACATGGTTAAAGGTATTACTTTTGCTATAAAAATAGCGAATAAAATAACACGGAAAAATAACTCGGAATAATAACACTGAAAAGCACATAGCACATATAACACATAACATACAATTGTTCCTATATATTGAACTCACCTTGATTAACCGGGGGTCAAAATAGTAATTTGGGCAGCACTTCGGCTTTAAATATGACTTTCTATGTTGAAAACTGAGAAATATATTGAAAACCGGGCTCCGCGAAGGTAGAGCTTCAAAACTGAAAAGATAAATTTTTCGGGCACTTTGGGACGTGTTTCGGATGCTAAATTGATATCGGGGCTTCGGGGGAAGTTAAAATAGTGAAAATATGGAATTAGGGTGAAAAAGTGTCAAAATTTCAAAACTACTCAGGAAGGCTCGCAGCCTCCCTATTTATAGGGTGAGAGGGTTCGGATCCGAGGGCTGAGAAGACTCCACGTAGCATCTGCGAGGCTCGGATCGGAGGGGGTGACAAGGCTCGCATGCGGAGGGCAAGTGGCGAGGCAGCGAGGCTCAGACGCGACACGCGTCGCACCTCGGACGTGGCACGTCTCGGTGACGTAGCTGCTTCGTGCGAGAGACGTGGTTGCTTTGTGCGCGGTGCGTCATCGGTTGGGTCTCCGGCTCGCATACGTGGCAAGCATAGGGACGAGTGACGTGGCCGGTTCCGGTGACGCTTATCCATGCGAGATTCCTCGGAAAATGAGCCAAAATCTTCTAAAATCCATAACTTCCACATACGAGCTCTGTTATTTACGTTCTTTATATGCACGCGTAGGCGGGAATAAAATATACAACTTTCGTTTAGACTTCGTCATCTAATTTTGATTTATTTTTAATATTATTATTTTTAACAGACCGGGACAGGAAAATTCCTAAAAAATTCATAACTTCTTCATCCGACATCCGTTTTCGTCAGACTTTTTATCCTTGTACTACAAATGACGAGACTTTCGATTCTCGTTTAGGTTGTATCGGCTAAATATCGCTCAATCTAAAATTCGAGTTTTTAGCTGTTTACTGCTATTTCGAAACTTAGGAAAATCATAACTTCCTCATACAAAGTCAGATTTTGGCGTTCTTTTTATTAAACTTCTCGGTTTAACAAATGCTACGAATTTTATTTAGATCACTAAGACTAAAAAGTAGTTTATCAAAAACTCACTTTTTACATCATTCAGCGTCATGCCGGTTTTATCGCGGATCTTCAATTTGTCATAACTTCTTTGTTATAACTCAGATTTCGACGAGTTTTCGCCTATAATTTTCTAACGAGATTATCTACAATTTTCAATAATAAAACTTTACTTATTCCAAAATTTATATTTTCATTAAATGTTACCATTTGACATTTATTTGGAATCTAATAAGGCTTCCAATATTTTCAGAGTGATTCTAAACATAGTTTTACTTAATTTATAGTAAAACCATATGTTAGAACTCAACATTTAAATTCACATAATATTTCGTAATATTATTCATTACAAAAGACGATTTCAATACGTGTATGTTATAGGCTATTAGAATATGACTTTTCTTTCACACTCGCTAATGATTTTAGAAATGGTTCATGAAGTTTATAGATGTTATTACTTGTTGAAAATACCTTTAGTATTTGACAAACTGAACTTTAAATGTTGAAGGGTATGTTTTGTATAATATTGCTATTTGTGGGTAGAGTGTATAAATTTTATGCAGGTGATATAATTCAGGTTAATGCGCGGATCTTAGATGCTTTATGGGTTGGTCAAGTATCCGAAGTATTTAAGAGAAGAAGCTTGGTCATTTTTGTTCAGTTGATCAGATCTAGATATTTTTCATCTTCTTTTCTCTCTCAGTATCTGTTAGGGTTTCTCTAATAGAAGTTCATAGTCTCATTAGATCTTGTTCTTAAGTTTTCATCCGAGTGTGAGTGTTATTGTAGTGAGGTTTTTTGATGTAAGTTGATGTATAATCGAACTGGTTTATATTAAATAAACTGTTCAAGTTGGGAAGTTCGTGTGTTTGTGTTTTTAAGATGGTATCAGAGCTCTCAGGCTCCGATTTGTTGTTGCAGACGCTCGATCGTGATTTTCATCATCAGATCGTCAATCTAAGAACGGTATTTTTCTGATTTCTTCTTGTGAAGATCATTTCTGTTCTTTATAGATTTTTTGTCTGTTTCTTGCTCAAGATCCTGGTACTGCGAGAATGTTTTGATTCTTGCAGGTAACAAGTAAAGTTGAAATAAACGCTTGTGATATTAGCGCTTCGCTTCTGTTGATCTTCAAAGTTATCATAATCGATTAATCTCTACTCCGAAATAACTCTCTAGGGGTCGGATTTGATCACCGATAAACCCTAGTAGAGAGCGGACTTAGAGAGTCGATTCCTTTGGCCGCTTCCAACTCACTGTGAGGACTGTTTTGTTCCTTTTTCTCTATTGATTGGTAATATTGTTCTGGTTGGGAATCTGTGACTGTATTGTGCACACCATTGTCTGGTTCTTGCATTATATGTTTTTTCTTGTTTGTTCTTTGACACTGTACTGATTGTCTTGGGCCCTAACATACCTGGTGACCTTCTGGACGTTAGATCAGTACTGTTGTCTTCTGTTTGTGGTATTATTTGTTGTTCTTTACTCTTTTTTTAAATGGCCGGAGACACTACTTCGAGTGGTGATTCTGGTTCTATACCTAGTGGAAGTGGAAAGGATGAGTCAATTAATTTTGATGATCCTCTCTACATTCATCCATCTGATAATGCTATTACTTCAATAG